AAAAATTGTTTTTTAGGTTGTGGCATCAACTTTGTGATCTCCTGACAATCAAAATACTTTTTTTAAATAATGAAACTAAAACTAATGTAACAAATGAAATAAAGGATAATTAACAGAAACCAAAACAAAACATTTTAGGTAGCTCCATTTTATGGGGCTGTCAGGATCATGACATTTTAGTTGACTATTAATTGTCATATAATTACTGTCATTAATAATTGAGCTGTTTTTCTTGTTCACTGTATGTGACAGAGTTCAGGGCTGAAGAGGCCAAATTGTCTTATAACTCCTCTTGCTTCCTAGCACATACATACAGTAGTGTACCATCAAGGAAAACTACCTATTTTTCACAAGAGAGAAAATAGAAGCAAATAAAACACTCATTCTATTAGCATACATGTTAAAAACCTTAGAAATAGATACATGGTTCACAAACAAGCCAACATTACCACACTAAAAGTTAGAAGTTAGATCTGCTTTTTGGTCTTCATCAGCCCCACAATGTCTCAGTGAATGCATTTACTGTTTTCTCTTATTTATATTAGTTTGCCTCAACCAAAAGCACCTAACTCACATTCTGCATAATGCAGCATAATATGACTGTGAAATCTAACAAGTGGGGAAAATTATTGCAGTCAGCTTAAATAGTTATGATCATTTTAAATAACTGTGATCATCTGAAATAACTGCGATACACATATCCTTCCTCAGTGCTTTAATACATACATCGCCTATATTATTATGTGAGTTTCTGCTGTTTGAGTTTAACAAGTGTGACAAGTTGAACTAACAACAGTCAGTCAGTAAGGCACTGTGTAACTAAATCTATTATAGTATAGTATAAAGTGAAAATCCAAAGCACAAATATAAAATTTTATTAAATGATGTTATCTTTAATTGGAATTTATAGCCCCTTAAAATCGATATTGCTAATGGCCACACATTTTTCTTACATCCATCAGGCTCCACTCTGTGCTACAGTTTGTCATTTGGTCGAATGGGATTTTTGCCAATGGGTAAAGCTCATGGAGCATAGAAAGGTCAATTTAGGAAGATCATATATGTTGTATAGGTATATGTAATAAAGTTAAGGACTAAATTACATATTTCGGTGAATGTTTGGGACATACCTTAAATCCAACTGAAACCAAAGAGATTAAAAGGCTGCAAAACTAGGGTCCAATATAAAAAAGTACATTGAAAATATATATATAATATAGGCTATTTATATCTGTGAACATACTGATAACATGCAGTAATATCTCCTTTTCATAGTGGAGTCCCTGTAGGTATCTAAAATAGACGGTTTGCTTTGGATCGAGTTGACCAGTTGCTTAGTTGGGCCATCCAGAAACCTGACAAGGCGTGTTCGCATCTTCTTTCACACATGGGCCGATAAGCTTCCTCTGGTACTCTATGGGGATCTATTCTATAAGGGAAACTGTACAGATAATAACAACAGTGACTAATGGCCGTGCTGGCCGCTCTGAAAGAATTCTGCCGAAGACTCTTTGGCGATACGTATCCGCACAGAAATGCTACAGTGTCAGTATCAAAGCGGGAAACAATTTTGGGCTATTTGAAGCAGACTTGTAGCCCCCGGCTATGTCAAAGATTTCCCTCAGGTAAACTACACAGTACACGTTCAGCCTCAGTCAACAGGATCAACTAGAACAGCAATTATTCTTCCTTCTTCTCTTTCACATCCTTCCATACTCTGCAGCTCTTTCAGACCCATGGGGAAAGGAAGGATGGATGAATGGATGTCAGAGAAGGGGGAAGGGGGTGAAAGGGTGTTTAATTTTTAAAAGTGTTCCATCCGCTTCCCTCGCTTTCTAAGCGTGACCTGAGGCTCAACCATCATTCTACAAGAAGAGCAGTCACGACAACCGTCAGTCTTTCTCTCTCTTTCTCTCTCTCTCTCTCTCTCTCGCTCTCTTTATAATCTTCACTCTCTTTGAGTTGTTTTGCTGCTGTTTGTCTAACTCTGCCACTTCTCATTCCTCTGGCCTTGTTTTTAATATTGTTCTGTCATGCACCACACTACAGGGAACTGTGGCTATTTCTCTCTGTCTTTTCTTAACATTGCTTCACAAATTCAGTTCTGTTTCAGTCTAGCACTGGTGGGCCGACATGCATCTGTAATCAGGGGAAAACAGCCCTAAAGCGCAAAAAGGCGTGTAGAAAATAAAACATTAAATTTCATACATACGCACAGAACCACAACTGCCCTCTTAGCTGTAATGGAATGATGGTAGTAAACTGCTGCATTCTCCTCAGGAGGCAATAAAGTGGTGGGCCACCATCAAGCGGAATGGTACGAATGCAACACAGATAGATGTATAGATGGAACAGCACATTAGGCATAATTGATCAATACAGAGGATTTTGATTCATCGATTCATAGTAAGACATTTGTTATTATTTAAAGCGATATTTATAAATAAAGGCCTTTAGACAACAAGCATAATTTATGTGTACAATTTACTCAATAAATTAATTCAATAAATTAAAAATGTGTATAACTGACAGTATCTTGCACAACAAACAAGGCAAAAATGCGACATTATTTTATTCGCCTTCTGGTCAATCTTTGCGAACTTTCACCAGTGACATGAACTCTGTGACCAACCACGGCTGTCTCTGGTGTTGGCATGATGACAACCAAGCTGATGGAGAACAGTATAGAGACAGCAGGGTGTGCGTCAGCGCCTGCTGTGTCGGTCATATATGCATGTCCGTATTGTCATCTCTCACCACAACCTATGTTTTGATATGTTCTTTTTCACATAAATTATCCAAACATTTTAAATGAAAAAACATAGTATTTAGCCTGACAATGTACATCACTTATAATCTTGAAAATCAACTCAAGTACCTTTCCACCTCCCTGAGTCAACTGTAACCTTCCGCTCTAGCTCCTGAGAAGCGTTTCAATATTTTCATTTACATTTATTCATTTGGCACAAACTTTTATCCAGGGCTGCTTACATTTTAACCGTTACAGATGTAGGCACATGGTGTTCGGAGTTTTGCCTATTGCCTAAGGACTTATTAGCACAGCGTCAAACCCCAGTCTGCTATGAGGAGGGAAGCGGTATTACCCATAATGCTATACCAACATTCATCCGAACATTCAGATTTCGAGTTATATGTCATATAATATATAACAGTAATAGTATTAATATTTATTTGTTTATTTATAGCTGAGGCCAGTTATGTGTGACCTTTTTTGCATAATAATCGTGTGCATGTGCTCATGACCAAAAGACAAGAAATTCCATAAAAGACTGGTTTTAAGTGTGAAATGCTCTCTGTTTTTGCAATCTGTTAGTATTTTATAAGTTGTGTAGTGCACAATTTAATTGAAGTGGTTACCCTAAATGTGCCATGGAATATTTTAACACTAACTGTTTCTATGTAGGGCCCGTTCTGAGGGAACTACATTGCTTTCATATTTTGAACATTCTGAGTTATAAAAATGACCTGATGAACTTTATGAAGACACCCAAACTATTCCATTCCTGCCACTTCTATGCTCCTAATGTATCAGCAGTTTCAGTGTAAATAAGCCCTCAGTACTATATTTTGCACTTAAAGTAGCCACTTAGACCGCCACGTTAATGCACAATCTGAGCTGCACAGGCACACTGAGGATTAATACTTGTTTATCATGCTGGGAGAGGGATGCTATGGAGAGATACCAATGATGTCACAGAGCGGCAGACAAATAAATAAATAAGTAAATAGACAGGCGTTGTATGGGGCGCAGCGGAGCACTGTTGTAGCGCTGCATTGGCACAGCACTGCAGTGATCCAGACACAAAACGGAACCATGCAACTCAAAGGCCGTTCTCCGCATTCCGGAACCGTTTCCATGGCTCCCCACAATTGACAACAGATTGAGGGGTTAGTGGGAAAATGGGGCGTTTGTGTGGCACGCTGAATGTAGTAATGATTGCAGTTAAACTGTTGGGGGGGGGGTGGACGAGGGGGCGGATGAGGGGGCGAGTCTAGCTCGAGAGAGCCCTCGTTAGGTGAAAACAGAATAGAATCATGAGCTTAAAGGCTTCAGCTCTCGGTAGCATGGTTTATTTCTAAAGACGCAATACCCAAGTGGCTGGTCTAGAATGATCAAATTATCATAAATCACGTGAGTTTTAAGGACGAGCAATAAAAATTGGCTTAACTGAACAATACCACACTGTGAAGAGCCTTTCAAAAATATGTACATACGTTTCCCAAAATGCATATAAATGGGTAAGGAAGTTATGCTCTGTTTCCTAATATAAGAGAGAGCAGTTAGCCTGTTAGCTGCCTGCCAAGCTGTCCCGCCAAGACCTAGGTAAACAAAAACTTTGAACTTCATATACAAACAATTTATAACATCTTACAGCATATACAGCATCATATATCTTTTTTATTTTTTAATATTTACGTATTTATATTTATATACTATATTATATATGTATTATTTATATTTATATTTGACTTCATATACATGCAATTTGTTACTACTATTATACATACATTTATGAGATCCCACTGGTGTGGGTTTCCTCCCTTTCAGTGATGCACACAAAAGTCACTTGAGTGCTAATAGTGTCCTCTTGTGGACAATCTGTTAAACACGGCTTGATAATGAGAAAAGAAGCTTAGGAGAGTTATTGGCCTTTTGAAGCTACTGCCAGTAGGAACTTCATCCACACTGACTAAACTATAGCACTGGATATGAATACACTAACATCTATCAGTGCAAAATCTTAAAAATAGAATCAACAATCTATCATAGTATTAGCACATCTTTAATATGCATAAAAAGTTCAGACAGCATCAACAGATCAAGGATGTTCAAAGTGACATGTAGCTCATGCAGACCTTTCTGCTAATGGTAGGAGGGTGAAATCTGTATGAGACAGCAAAATAAGCCGAGATTGCTGAATCTTTCATGATGGTCAAAGATGCAAACTGCTAACGCTTCTTTCCATCCTTCTCTCCAGTGGTACGAGTGGACGGGGGCGCTCAGCCTGACCCTCCTCCACCTCAGGCCTGAGGGGCAAGGCAAAGGAGCTGACATCTTCAAGCGGAGGAGGAAGGAGGAAGGCGACGAGGGAGCAGGAAGAGCAAGGAGAGGAAGTGGCGTATTATTCTGCTGGTTATTAGCAAACTGTGGCCATGAGATCAGACTTAAGCTCCAGTGAAACCCAGTATGGACATCACACAGATGCTCTGGATCATCTGGGCTTAGAGAACCGCTCCAAACCACTTCTGCATAAATACCACCACTTTAGCAGCACACTCCAAGGTCAATGCCCTGCAAGACTGAAACCCAGCTCAGATCACACCAGCAGCTGACATACGAGGTGACGATTTGATCTGAATTAGGCTTCAGACACTTTCACAAGACCTGAGCTCCTTTGATGTTTGAGGTGGCGAGACACAGGCATCTAACAATATTGTTTATTCCACACCACCGACCAAATCCGAATGGCCTTATAGCATTCCTTAATGTCTATTATAAAGCTTTGAAGATGTATAGTCTGCCATACGTATGTAAAACCACATGTTTATGTTTTCCAGTGACAAAGTAATCCACCAGGTAATCAACACGGACTTATCGCACTAACACAAGCAGCACTGCAAGTTTTAAAGGCACTCTCAGATCTGACAAAGATGAAGGTGATGTTCAGACGGACTGCAGCTAAGAGGTCTATGGGGTTTCGATGAACTCTGATGAATTGGACTTCTGGACTTGGCTCTGAAGTGGACTCTATGAGAATGCCTCAAATGAATAATCATGATCCTTCCTCATTTTGATTTCAAATCTTTGTTTGTGAAGTTCTTCATTCCCACATAAAAGAAAGTGTCAGATTCTTTCAGTCAGGATGCTTCACAGAGTTCTGAAAGGTTGCAGGAGCTGCCCATTTAGGACCAGGCCTGAGAGCAGCGCTGGTTTCAGCCCTAATGGTGGTTTTGTGTGGAGAAAAGCTGATCCTGGAACAGCAAGTGTGTGCAACATCTCGAAAGGTGACATTTACTGACCTTTACTTTTGTAATGACTCAGATCTATACTTAGCTCTCTCTCTTTCTCTCTCTCTCTCTCTCTCTCTCTCTCTCTCTCTCTCTCTCTCTCGCTGCAGATATTCTTTTCTGATAAACCCACATACAGTCTCCGTTTCCTACAGACACACATATATAGATACACACGCACGCAATGCATCATATTTCCTGCTCTGCTGCCTCACCTCATCCAGGTTTATGTTTCGATGCATGGTCATCTCAGGCCTCTCAGGCCTAAGTGATGATGCTATTGTAGTGTAGAAGGCGTGCGGTGCAGTGCTACACAGCAGTGTGAGCCGGCCAGATCTGACACAGTCATCCTCCATTTAATGCTGCTTCTGCATTCTGCTACAGAGGGGTGTAATGATGTACAGAACTCATAGCTTGGTTTGATACGATACAGTCTTGATTCAGTAGACTTGTTTGATCCAGCAAAAACAAATAGTGCCCAAAAATGTGCCTTAGGTTTCTATTTTCATTTATTAGAAAATCCAACACATTCAACACCAGAGGTAGAAAGATAAAAAATTGCACTGGCCAATAGGGTCACCAAGCCAATGAATCTTGTGGATTTTTTTTGTCCAGAATTATAGAAACTAGTTTATCATATGTACATTCTATTTACAATGTGCATGTTTCAGTACCAAAAGCCAGTCAGGTGTTACTTTGAAAAAGGAAATTTCCAGTCCAAAATATTCATTAGGTACTGTTTAGCTACTGCAGTGACAGCCTCTAAGTGTAATACCAGCTTATTTAACTTGCATAACTATTTTATTGCATAAGAGTCATATTAGCAAATTTCAACTAATGCAACAGCATCCATGGCGCCAGGCAAAACAGCACAGCAGGGAAGACCACCACAGTAAGTTCTGTCTACCCCTGTTCAACACTTATCAAAGTACAATATTTCAATGGCACAGTGGAGACTTTCCTGACCCATTCAGGCCAGTTTCTCAGCTGCTTAAACCTTAATGCTTACTAAAATCAAACGTGGTGAGATAAAAAACTAAGAAACATCACTTTGGCAAAACAACCACATTTGAGGGTGCAGCCCAAGCCAGATTTTTAAGATTATTGTATAAATCATGCTAGCAAAATAATAATAATGTTTAACCTGTTACATGTCAGCTATTACTCTAGCAATGAGATATGCTAGCTACAAGCTGATAAGCTAGCTATGAGCTAAAATGCTAGTCATAAGCTGATATGCTAGCCACAACCTCATATGTTTGCAATTATATGCTAGCCAGAATCCACTAGCCACAAGTTGATACAGTAGCCAAGACCTAATACAGTAGCCATGGGCTAATATGGTAGTCACAAGCTGATATAGGAGCCATGACCTAACATGCTAGCCATGAGGTAATACAGTAGCCACAAGCTGATATGCTAGGCACGAGCAAAAGGCTAGTCACTTGTCTAATAGCTTGCTTGCGAAATACATGCCTTATTTCTCCAAGGAATTTAAATTCAGGGTGAATTTGATGTGAATTTTTTAATTGATCAGTATAAACCATATTTTATAAGGAGTACATATTTGCTCTACTCTACTGAAAAAAACAGCACAGACCAGCACCAAGTCCATGCTGGTCTAAGCTGGTGTATGTTGGTTTATGCTGGTCTTGTATCAGTCTGATGCTGGTTTACCTAGTCACCCAGCATAGTCATGCTGGTTGACCAGCATACCAGCATCCAAAACACAACATATGCTGGTTTTGCTGGGGTGTATCCAGGCATGCCGGTCTATGCTGGTTTTTCTAAAAGGGTAGTCTAATTGATAGCCTTGTCTCAAACTGTACAACATGACACAATGTATTGTTACACCTCTAACACAGACCATTCACCACCCACCCATCACCATAATTCCCAGAATAATATGAAATGATTCATTTTGTTGATTACCATGATTCATCCTCACACTTTCTATTCACTGTGTCTCACCATGTCTGGCCCGTATTCCTACCACCATATGTCGTTCTTCCACTCTCTCCATTTCTCCTCAAAGCAAACTAAATCCAGACCAATGGGTAAATGATTCATGCCATGGCTGCTGAATGGGCCACATGTGGTAGACTGTGGTCCATTAGAAGCTCTAATGCGGTTGGGTCCCATGGCCAACTCAACACCACTGTGCTAGCATTGGCCGTGTTCAACATTAAGGAAGGAAAAGTGTCATGTCACCATACTGGAGAATTGTTTGGAAGTGATGTCATCGCAAATTATAGTAAGAAAAGATGACAACACCACCAGAAAGTACTGCTCGAGAATGAACAGTCCAGTTCAGTATGAGCGCAGATGAACACATACATTCAGTACATGCACCACAAGAGAAAAACCCAATGCAATTAATATCACCTGCTGTTTTTCTTGGATTGCATCCATCCTTCATTAAGCTAATGAGCAGGATTATGGACCTGGGTAGAGAGGCATTCAGCATGCATGCACACACGTACATACACACTCACTGACAGTTTCTAATGTGTCTGCTTCATGGCTTTATAGAGAATATGGGCAGCATTAGGCTATATTCTGCTCCAAAACCTCAGGATCTTATAGTCTAGCACACCGCAGACAAAGGCTACATTCACATTACTAACCTTAGTCTTCAGTTTCAACTTTTGCTCCGAAATGAAATTCCCATTTACGTTTATTAAAGTAACAGAATGTGCACATTGTATCTGCTGTCGTTATCCATTACTGACATGCTACCAACAACGATGCTGACAGCAGCAGTATGTGCATTTGCAATGTTACGTGAAACAAATTAACAAACAAAACATAGAAATTCCAAGAATTCCAATCTAACCATTTTCATACTAAACCTTTATGCGGCTAATATGAAAGTCACTCAAATCTGACTTGAACAGATCCTTTTTTTTGTTCACACTGCTCTGAAAAAATCATTTTCAAACAATCCATGCCACTTCAGTTCTGTAATGTGAATGTAGCCTAACTGAGGAACAGTGGGGTTTAACTGCAATAACAAAATAACACTGTTTTGCTACTTATTTGTATTATTTTACTCAGGCTTATGTAAAGATGTAAACAGGCTATGCTAAAATCACTACATACAGTAATTATCATACATTTGTTTATTTGGCTTGGACGAGTTGCAGGACACTCTTGTGGTCAGACATCAGTTTGACTGATCCTAGTCCATCTGGTCCACAGCCATGTTGTTTTGTTCCGCTGTAACATTTCACTTGGCTAATATGAGCTATGGCTTGGCATGTTAAGCTGAGATCTATACTGCTATAACTTCACCTCCTGCGTCTGGCAGAGCTACAGAAGAAGCTGTTGCCCTGCATTATGCTTCAGAATGGACTCCTCCCCTCCACTAAGCTGAGTACATTCCATTAAATCATTCTATGGAGCATATCATTGGCCTTCTTTAGCTAGCCGCCTAGCTATGTTTGGGTTTAATGCGTTTTATGACTCCATCACCTCACTCATGGGGCTCTGCACTGCTGTTTGTTGTCAGATCGGCCTACTTGAAAGCACTTACAGATGAGAAAGAGAGACAAGTTTCTCTCCAGCTCATATATTCTCTCTTGATTGAGTTCTCTGTGGATGTGTGTGCTGTCAAAGCCCGGCCGTCGCCTTTGCCTTTACAGTGAAATGAATGCAAAGCAGGAATCTCAGTCATGGGGAATGCTGATGATGTTGCCACAGCTTGGATATAGCTCCAGAGTACTGATACATTTTCATAAGGGTATAGATGGAGAGAGAGACAGAAAGAATAATCGACATAAAAAATGTCTCATGAAGCAGGATTTGCTTAGCCAGCTACCTTTAAGGTTGGATCTACCCCTGGATTTTTTCACAACAGTGAATCCCTTTTTACTATTAAGTTCAGAATTTCTAAGCATAAGCAATTCTGGGAACAATCAGGACGAGATTCTGACCAATCACAGACTTCCAGAGGAGAACGCTTCTTGTCCCTTTTTTTTCTTTGTGACATTTGAGGAGTCAATCATATGAATGACTGCTTTTTTAGCAGAGGGAGCAAATCATACGACATAAATATTCAGAAAAAAAAGAATTACTCTAATAAGCACTAAAGTGTTGCATATCACTGTTGTGAGTGCTTCACTTTCTACATATTTATGCAAATTTCTTCTTACTTACTTTGAGAAATAAGCCACTCGACTAGTCATGTGCACATGCACGAGGATTAATCACAGCCTATCTAAACCTGGCTGTACAGAGAAAGTTCTTCACTGCCTTAATGCCACGGTTCCAATTTTTAGGTTTTGTAAGGCTGAAACTAAGTTTTAGGAACCCTGTCTAAGTTGAACTTGCTTCATGAATCACTCTCCAGGGATGGCCAAACAGTTGCATTCACATTACAAGTCTTATTGGTCAATTCTGATTTTTTTTTTCACTACTCTGACTTGATGGTTCACATTTATTTTTGTAAATGACCATAAGCATAAACATACTTGTGTCCCGAAAGCATGTTGAATCTTTTCAAGTCAGATTTGAGAAACTTTCATGTTGTACCGGATTAGATATGTATCTAATATCGCTGCTGTTGGAACAAAACGTAACATGGAACATAATTTGAAAATGCTTGTTGCCCTTTACATTGTGTGTAAATTTCATGAAGAATGGACCAAAAGAAATGACCCACAATTACTTGGAAAAAAGTCTGGTTCCATTGACTCACATTTAAAGTGAAGTATGTTTTATTCTTCTCCTTCTTCTACTATTTTAGAGATACAAGGTTTTGTTCCGACAACAACGATTTGTTGCTGTGGTGTTACAACAAATAAACAAACAAACAAAAACAAACAAAAAACACAACAATTGTGATAAGATGACAAGAATTTAGCCACATGGTTTATATATCTGATCAAATATGTTTTTTCAAGTCTGATTTGATTTGAGAGATTCTACTTTTGTGTTCTCATTGCCCTAAAAAAATCATATCTAGGTCACCTATAGGATCACACCCTGTACTGTGAGAGAGAGAGAGAGAGAGAGACAGAGAGAGAGAGTGAGAGAGAGACCCCTTTGGCATCAACAGGCAAACTATGTCCTTGGAAAAAAAGTATCGTATGGTGAAGAGCAGCTAGAAAACGCTTAAATGAACAGACGGATTTCCCTCTCCAAACACCATAAAGCACTTCTGCTCACTGCGTACAGTCGCCAATCAATCAATAACGGGCAAGCAGCTTCACTTCTGTTCATCACCCGAGGAAGAGAAAAGAATGTGCGTGAGCCCATTTATCAATATTCATTAGCAAAATGTGTTGCGCTAACTTTCTCCTATCTCATTTTCAGTTCTATTCAAGCTCTGAAACTCATTCCTCTTCTTTTATAGAACATTGCTTTGTTTCTTAATAGAATTATCTTTTGAGAGCAGTATTTTCTAAAGACAATTTACTTTTGTAGCATTTAAATAGATTGAATTAGTACACTTAAAGTGTGTCCAGCGCCATAAAGTGCCTGTGGACTATGTCAGGTGTCTTTGTGCTACATTCAGAAAGTTCAGTTTTGCATTGTTTTGTTTTGTTTTGTATTTTTCTTTTTGTTTGCTTGATGTCTGTTGTGTATAAAATGTATGTGATTTTGTTACTAGTCATGAGAAGATGTTGATGAAGGTTGAAGGACATTAACGTCATTACCCAGGTAAACTACATCCAGGTGAATGTTCATTCAGTGTTCTATGTTTGATAAAAGTTTAAACATTCACAAGGACACGTACGATGTATTCTATGTGTACCCTGGCTGGGTATAAGCTGCTGAAACAGTGGATGTCAATTACTGTCACTTTCCCTTCATATTATACCATACTATGCATTTAGAAAACAATACAAAATGTCAGACAAAGAGAGGTTTTTACAAATGGCTATCACATATCAAATAAAAGTGACATTATTTGACACAATTTTGTGTTCGGCAAATCATAACCGTGGACAAGTCCTTTTAGTCACCTGCTTTAGATGGACACAGAAACACCTTTAATATGCCATATGTTTAAATGAAGATTTCCACAGGGGATCGTCCCTCTCGCTCCCTGCCCCACCAGCAGGGATGAATGTTATCTGTACTTAGCCCATACTTTACAATGCATTCTGTAAATGTGAAAAATTTCCTAAAGTTGTTATGACAGTACACTTATGTAAATGACAAATGAAATAAATTAGTAATCTAATAGAATAAAACCAAATATGATTCATCCTGTCTCAGTGTCATGATATTTTGATTGACAGTTTAAAAAAGTTCACTCTACACCTCCTGGATGTCCTGGATACAACACTTATTGAAAATATGA